TACTGGATTAGCTTGTATGTGGTGAAATGAGAGGACATAGCAACAAAGAATGACACAGGGTTTAGTGGGGAGATTTTACAGGAAAGAGTAGGGTTTTGGGTTTTATCTTCATTTTTATATCTCGGGTCAGGGGGTTTGCCTGTTTTTTTTCCTTCACTGACTGTCCCTCTAAAATATCTCCTCTCTCATCCTATACGTCATCCAACTTGTGACACGCCGCCGTTTTCTCAAAAGATCCCCAATAGGGTTTTTGGGTCAACCTTCATTTTTTTAAACCCTCCCGTTAGTTTTAAAACCGTCTTTCATTTTTATTTTTAGTTTTTATTATTTATAAGTCTTATAAATAAATAAATATTTTAAAAATTTTAAACTTAATATCATTTTTATTTTACTTTTTGTATTATTATTATTATATTTTTTAATACTAATTTGTGTAGTGAACAAAATTATATTTCAGGCATAAAAATTTTAAAATTAAATACTATTCACACAAATTAAAAAGAAAATTATTCTAAAAGCCGAATGAAAGCCCAAAACCAAGCCCATCAAGGAATTGAGAAAAGCCCATGTTGCCGACGAATTCTCTGGCACGCTTCACCTCTCTGCATTCCTTTTTCTGATTCCTCTGTCTGCACGCCCAATTTCTGTTGTTGGCGTCGCTCTCATGGAGGAAACTGAGACAGGAAGCGACGGAATGAATAAATATGGCGCAGGCAAGACTCAAAACCAAAACCGACTTTCTCTTAAAAACCAGTCTCGTTTTAACAAGTATTCAATATGGAAAGACAAGGTTCCTCTCTTCCCTTCTAATTTCTCTCTCTCTTCAATTCTTGTTGTTTTTGTTTTCTCTGACTAAGAGAATTTCAAACATATTGGTCATTTCCGAACTTCAAGATGCAATTTCTTTGGCATTCTTGATATGAAATTGGTCTGCTGTGCTGTTGCTACTTGTTTGCTTTATCGTGGATATTCGCTTTCTGGTTTTTATTTTTGAGATAACTGAGATGTTTTTTTTACTTTTAGTGGTTAACTTTCCACTGAATTATTTTCATTATAATTAAAATCTCCGCTGTGCGCGGTTATTGATTCAAATGTTGTTGGAATGTTGATGTAGCTAAGAGAAAACTGTTACAGAAGGGTTCGAGAGGATAGGACAAGTTTGCTTTGGAAAATGAGGTCGCCGACTTCTCAATCTCTAGATCATAAGGTTCTTATCTTGCCAACTATTTGCTTTGTACATCAATACCAATTTCTTTCTCTTTATCTGTTTTGTAATTGATCGTCTAGTGTGCTCAGCCATGGCTGCATGGGCTATTCTTGCTGACAATGCAGTTGAATGAAAACTATCTCGAGTTACATTTCTCTCAGAGATGAATTTTTAAGCTAGTATACTGAATAGCTTGTCGCATTATTATTTCTTCCCACTCTTTAAGGTTTGAATGAAATTGAGATCAATTAATACTTTAATTTAATTCGAGGTAAGTGGATTTTTTATTTCTACCTAACGGGAGTTAAATGTTATTTAAAGAACAACAAGATAGGAGTCAAATTTATTTGATTATTGAAAATATAATCCAACTGTATACACCATGAATATTCTTATAACTAAGGAACAGGACAGCGTTCAGGAGTTAAACCAGAGGCCCATTAAGATCATACAACCATTTCTTTTGCTGATATCAGATGGCATTCTTCCTAACAATGATTTTTGACTTGGGGATACGCCTACTTAGGTTTGTAGTTGTATGTAACTTTCTGTTTGTTTTTTAATTTTCACACTCTTCCAGCCAGTTTGATTCAACTCTCATTCAAAATATTTACTTAATGGCTAGAACATGCTTGATATATAGAATTTGTTATGTTTTTTATATTTAAAGTCAATTTTTTTCCTATATAGAATTCATCATGCTTTTATATTTAAATCAGTTTTATTCCTAACATTTTTTAGAGATGATGGTTTTTTCCTACCTAATCAAGTAAGAATTAGAAATTCATCTCCAAAGGGATTCAAGGTAAAACTGGAATTTATTAAAACATGAATGTTACATATAAAAAATATTCGACAAATAAGTAAAAAGGTTAGGATAGAAATTGAACCAACCAGAACTTAGTGTTTCTTGGTATTAGAAATGGAGTCTGCATAAACTGTGGTTCTTGGTGCATGCCCTGCTCTCTTTCCTTTGGTTGCTCATTTTCAGTGGTTAATTTTTTTCTTATTTTCCTTGTCATTCAGGTCTCGTTGATGTAAATTTTCTTCACAAAATCATGAAGTAACCTATTCATTCATTCTTGCTGATTTCAGGATTTGATCAAGTCTGCTTTCCAGAATATTGTTTCTGATGAATTGAAAAAGATCAAGGATTCTTCATTAGCAGAATGTTTGGAAATCTCTACTTCAACCCCTCATACTGACGATATGTTATGGGAATATGATGGCCTTCATAGTGCTCATGAAGGTGAATGTGAAGAGATACTATTAGAAATGCAACGGATATTTTATGAGGATCTGGGAGCAGAACCAACAAGAAAAGGTGAAACATGATTACTTTTTACAAAAAAAAATTAAAAAAAATAAAAGAAAGAAAGAAAGATACTAGCCAGTGGGTAGAGCAAGGAATTTTCAAAATGATCTAATGACCAAAAAGATTTTTAGCTCTAGTGCATTCATCAATCGTTATCAGCATTTATTAGGAGATTATCAGGTTGAAGTAGTTTTTATGAAGTTAAATTTCTCCTTTCCCTCTTTGCAGAACCAGACAATCTGGTTGGAACTTGGGAAGATGAAGAAGATGAGTACTTGGCTCGTGCGGTTTATGAGAATATGCAATTGAATGATGAGCAGGTAAGGAGGTTTTCCTGCAGTCAAAGATTTTTTCACCAGTATCTTAGACAAGTGTGTGTGATACATCTATTATCACACATTTAAGAAAAATAAACTTTCAGTTGGAACATGATATAACACACCAACCTTCCACCGTTCCCCCAACAGAATAAATAAATAAATCATAGAGAGATGTCTTATTTAGAAGCAAGAGATACTTCTATGTAACGTATTCTCAGTTCAGGTGAAGGTTCTATTTCCTACTCTTCCTTCCTGAAAGTTAAGTTGTCTGTAGCCTGTCTAGGTCAGACTGCCACTGCAATTTAATGCAAGTGTAGTCGAGTATGAAAAGTTAGTTACCTTTGCACTTTTACTTCCTATGTCTTTGTAGAATATCTTTGTCATACTGAAAGTATAAACTCCTTTTCTTTTTCCTTTTTTGGAGGAATGGTGGTTAATGTTTATCATCAAGAATCATAAGATGACTTGAAAGGATTGAAATGTCAGACAGTAATTCAAGAACTCAAGTGTATTGTTTGTCTATTGATACATTAGAATATAAAGTTTCAGTATTTGCTTCTGAATAGATTCCGTTCATGCTTCATGTCTCAATATCACACAGTGGAAGATATTTGAAACTTCTTTCTTAGATCCAGTATACTTTATTGAGGGCAATGATGTTTTATGATGTCTGTGCTAGGTACATAAGCAGACTTGGTGTCCCATTTGTAAGCGAGGAGAGTTGCAAGAGAACCATCGGCTTATCTTTTGCACTGTTTGTGAACTTCAGCTCAACAAAGACAATGAGGTGCCACTATCTCCACTTGATCTTATTATCTTATTTTGTTGCCTGCTAACCACTTTCTATATTCTGTTGGATTCCCTTTTTTACTTCCCTCTTGGGAGTTATCTATTTGAATGTTTACTATTAACCATCAATCAATATTGTCTCCTGAAGTATCAGTGCATACCTCTTAGTTTCTGACTAGATACTCGATATACATGCTTTTTTCTTGCTCTGTTTTCAGTCAATAAGGTTTCGGTCTCTGAAATAGGAAAATTTCTGGTTACGAGAATCCCTAGTGTGAAGATTGTTATACTGCGTTTGAAGCCTTTTCTGTGGCAGTGATGATCCTGGTTGACAGCTAGAGTGTTCTTTTTCTTTGCTATAGTGCTTCCCTGTTTAACTTGCAGGCTATGATCTTCAAGCTGTTTGTTCTAGCTAGGATTTTATCTTGGTTTCTTAGCCACAAAAATACGAAGAAAGTTAATCTATGCAATTTAGTTCTTTATTTTAGTTTTTCATGTCTTCACTGGTTGGGGTTTATTTGGTTTATGTGTTGCTCTGTATAGTATGTTGTTAATGGACATGTAGGCAGGCGATATTGATTATTTTATTTGGCTGGCTAAAATGCATGCCTTGGATTACTGTTTCAGGTAAACTTGGATGCTTTGAGGGACCGATTGGCAGAAGCTCTTGCAGAACATTTTGAGAAGGGCTGCAGTTTGAAACCACGGTTTTGTATTGAGACTCGTTTTAATATAACTGCATTGTACATATTTTGTGAGGGTTGCAGTATATTTGAGATCATCGTATAGCTCTTCCTTTTATTTTTTCTTTGAAGGAAATTCTTTAGTTTTCCTGCTAGTATTATGAATTCATTTTTCACTTATTTCCAAAACAGTACTTTCAGTAGCTCCACACTGGTTGGTCACCTAGTTCGGGGATCCGTACAAATACAAACGATGGGAAAACACAGTTTCCTTCACAATACTCCTGCCCTCTATCCATTGCCGGGAAGTGTATTAGAACATCTGGAAAATGGAATAGAACGTGGGCTTTGATATTGCTAATTAAAACATTTCTAATTATTTAGTTTATTATAATTAATTAATGTGAAAAAATCTAATCATTTATACTTGGTTAGTATTTTAATTACTTAAGAGCAAATAAATGTCTGTAAGCTTGTATTCACAGTTGCGAATTGCCATCAACAAAGGAAATAGCCAGAATCTTGTTCTTCGGCTGGGATAAAAAAAACATCCTGATCTTTTCAGTGTTTCCTGGTTGCTGATCAGGTATCAAATTATTCGTGGGAACATCATGAGGCAGATCATTGTTCAGATTTTGCTCCCTGACCGCGAGGGAATTCACTTGCCATTCCACCGATGATAGATTATCTGTTACCCTCCCAATCTTTTAAGGTTATTTGTTATGTTAAATAAAATTCACTCTTGCATAATGAACTTGCTGGAAGTGTTTGAAAATTCATGTTTGAGAATTACGACCCCTTTGTAGCTTACTGAAAAAAGAATGATGCCAGTCTAGCAGAGCACTTGCTAGAATTTTCCTTCAACATTAGTTCAACTACTTTGAAACCATCTCCGAAACAGATGCTTATGTGAAACTCAATGCTCAATACTGGTTCATCGGGGCCTAATTTTAGCTTGCTGCTTCAGGCGTAATTCTCCAGAATTCTCCTAGATTAGTGTGTTTCCATGCAGCAAAGTGCTGTGATGGCTCTTCTTACTTAGAGGTGGCTGAAGCCAGAGCAATCCGTCCTGACTTGATTCTTGCCGCCAAGGATATGGGTTTCAATCTATTATTGTGGAATGCAGTGGTCGTAAGTCATAATCCTATTAAGGCTCTCCCATTAACTTCTGATATTAAAATGTAGCTTGCTAATTTCATCCCACCCCTTTTCTCCCCTTGCTGATAATTTCTGATGTGCTGTTACTGGGGTTGAATTTGGGAAGGAAGATATTCCTTCGAACCTGATGCAAATGCAGTTCTTGACCAATATCATTGTCCCCTCCCCCCAAAATCCCCAGTGTCATAAACATTAACCCAGTAAATCAAATTGGAACAACCCAATCACATTCCCCAACAGAAGAAATTTTTTCTACCACAATAAAGCAATTTTTTTGTTCCGAGCATTAAGCAAAGAAATGGGAAAATCTTTAAGATTGAATCTTAACTAACATGAAACAAAAAATTATATATTTGAATCATTGAAGACAAGTCATCAATGCAACAATCATACAGAGCTCATAGTGCGTCTAGATATCAACAAACACCGTACGCATTGAATATATGATGGAAAAGGGGAAAAGAAAACCACATAATAAGTACTGTAAAAGAATTAACACAAAAGAAAAAATCCCCTTATATTCTGTTGAGTAGATGTCCCGCTCGTGCCAAATTAATACTCTATACCAACAATGTAACAACAGCTTCCAACTTCAGGATGCAAAAGCTAGGAACCTTTAATTTACAGCAACCTCCAAGACAATTCACTTCCCGATGCCCGTCATCTCAGCAGCTACAAAAGAAGCTCCTTAGGCCCTTTAATCAGCCTATACCATGCAGGATCAATCAGAGCGTACAATCACAGCAGATGAGAGAATTGATCTGCCATAGCCATCAAACATTTTCCACCCCAAGGAATAGTGTACTTGCCAACCAACTCGCAGGAGAATAACCAGAAAATTTCAAAAAAGCTCCTCTGAATTGAACTTGTTCCAGGCCTCCTAATTTAACATAATGATAAGAAACGGTTAAATATCAATAGGGTAAACAGCACACATATGGCATTTTGACAAGCAACAATATTCTCCATGGAAGAGAATCCTCGTTAATTATCTTAAAATATATTCATTTACATTACATTTTCACATTTCATCTCAAACTTGCCTCACAACAATTAGACCCTAGGTAATTCTTTCCACCTTTGTGGTACTTAGATTCTAAGCCCCACCAATCACACCGGGTAGGATGGTTAAGAAAATTTTACACACCTCACTTGGTGTTTAGGAAGTTCATCTCCCCTGCAAAGGGAAAGCCAGCACTCCAGTCAGCCTCCAGGGTGATAATAGCGAATAACTATTGCCCGCCTGGGTTTGACTAGAAAATACCTTTTTTTTTAAGAATAGTAGTAAAGACTATATTATGCTCTAGTTTCTTTTCCTGTTTCATATCTACCCTTTATGCTCAAATTAATTATAGAACACCATATTCTATCACCATCCCTTCAGCCACCAGAAATCTTCACACCCTTCATTGGAGACCAACACATCCTCCATCGGGAACCACTGTGTGGTGGAATTGGTTTTGTCAAATTGCTGGTCGTGGAGGCATGTCTTGCCAGAAACTGAAAGCATTTGACAGCAGCCCTCTAGTGCGATTAGCAGCCAGGACAGTTTTTTTTCCCCTTAAAACATACTTCATTTTAAAAATATAATCTTAAAAATTAATTTTGTTCTTGAAAAATAAAATTACACTTAAAAATTTTGAATATTAAATTTATTGCATTTATCTTTTTTTTAAAAAGAAAAGTAAGACAGTATTATTAACAAAGTACCAAGTGGGTACACCCATATATAAGTAATTACAAGTCAATCAAAAGATCAAAGACAGCTACAAAATCCTCAAGCTCTCTAATATCATGACCCAAAAGCATAGAACCAAAAGAGTGGATCCAAGTATCTCTAATAGCAGTAAAATCTTTCTTAATACCCTCAAAAGCTCTCAAGTTTCTTTCCTTCCAAACAACCCAAAAAATAGAAAGTGGAATTAACCGTAACAATTTGTTCTTTTTACACACCCCATCCCAAGTCCACAACTCCTCCCTCACACTCCCAGCCACAACCCAGTTTAAACCCAATAATTTATAAACCATAGATCAAATGTCATAGGCAGCAGGCATTTATCTATTATTATTATACTACTACATTTTAAAATTCCATAGTAATAGCGAACATAAGAGTATTATGGACAATTGCATTATCCTGTTTATCTCCTTAATCAACCACCCTAAACATAAATTAAATCCTTAGCTCACTATGTCCTATCCTATTCGACCACCAAACCTTAACTACTTTTATTCAGGGTAAAAACGACCAGCTAACCAGTACATTTCTCCACAGGTAAAGGCAAGGAAAAATAAATCCACCTCATGGACATGCAAAAAAGTAATGATCAACATGATTGAAGCCTTATTAACAACATCCTTTATGGTAATGTTTAAATGATATAAAAATTCAAGCAAAAAATGTACCTTAAGCAAGTCAAACACCTTCTCAGCGATATATTTCTGCTGAAGATTGGCACCTTTCTGTTGCACTTTATCAGGATGAATACATAAGTTTGCCTTTCTATAAACTTTTTTAACGGATGCAGCGGTAATCAAATCAGTCAAAGAAACAGGCTGCCAACCACACTCTGGCCAAAGCACCTGTTCATAGTTAAATTAGATTAAAGATAATCACAGCAAAGCTATACTCCCTCCGTACCAAAATAATTATCCTTCATTTTTTCTTTATTTCTCCAAAGAAAACCCAATAAATTAAATAAAAAAACTTCCAAATGAAGGTGTAAATCAGAAAAACCTAAAGAAATCATTATTATGAAATAACTTTGGGAGACTAAAAAGCATATAAATACATTTGTAATCAAAGTAGTAATACAGGGGGAAAGTGTCTAGCAAACAAGTAAACCAAATACGACAGAGGATACACAATACAAGATAAATAACAAAACGTACATATTGCAATGTTGAGAGCAGAGCACGTAAATTCCCCTCCTTCCCTGCAGCCCAACGCTTGATCTCAATATCCAGAGTTTCACCAATCCTCTGAAAGTAGAATCAGCATTAAATACTGTGCAACTAAAAGATGATAAAGAAAAAAAAAGGAGAGTCCATTAACAAGAGAAAATGGGGTCAAACCGAAATACTGATCCATCCCCTTTCGGGCATAAAACCTTCTGTAGTACAAGTCGAGCATATGAACTATTTTTTACTATTCCTCTTCCCAGCCAACCAACCCCTGATCCCTCTTTCGCATGAAAAAATTATCAGTTCTCTCTCTCTCATATCCTTACCATCTTCCCTAAGAAACAAATAGAACACTTTTAATTCTATTGGGGAAATGAATACGAGGTTGGAAGTTTTATGATTTGTAGGCACTTCTGAAGGCTTTGGAAAAAAGTTTTCAAGAACAGGTTGGTTTTCACAATCTTTTATTTTCCTAAAGAAAAAAGATCGTAATAATTCAGTGCTATACTCTTTCTTCACAAATATATTTCCAATCAATAAGAGGACATCAAAACAAATATTTAATACTGAGAGTACAAAAACAGATACATAAGATAAGAAAATCAACAATTTTTTTTTGTGCTTTCTCTTTAGTGGAGAAGGGGAATAAGATAATGGACAGAAGCTCTCAACAACGCGGCAAAAGAGCACTCAAGTTCCTTAACATTTTAGCATTAACAGTAATAGGGGCATGTAACCGACATGCCATTCTCAGTATTTTTTTTGTGCAAAGAAATTTTGAGTTCTAATGACGCTGCGAGACAAACCAACTGAGTCGGTCGAGGACAAAGCTAGGAGTGGTGTCCAAAGGAAGAACATGTCTCTGGCAGGACTGTGCCCAGGCTCGACCATGCTAGGACAGTATTCTAGAACCTGCTTAGCTTTTCCCCCCAGGCAGGAGTATCCCCAAAGTCAAGTCATGCCGGGACTCCGTTCCAGGTCATGCCCAGATCCATGCCTCAAATCAGGACGTACTCAGGCCCATTCCCCATCATGACATGGGATAGAAATCTTTTTGTTATTCATTTTTTGTCTACTTCTTAAACATCCAAATACGAGAAGCAACAATTCAATTTTTTTTTTCATCCCAGTAAAAGAAATCCCGATACATGAGGACCTTCATAAAAGGTTATCCCTTTATGCAAGTTTTTTAGAATGAGAAGAGAAGAGCGCTTTTGTCTAACTGCAAAAAAGGACACTGCCAACAAACATACAGTTTCCCTAAGTAATCATTCCTCATTACCCATCTACATGCATATTATACAAGGAGCAAAAGAAAAATGTTGACTATTTAGTGGTAGAAATATTCACTTTTTACTTTTATAAGTAGCTAGTGGTTTGACAAAATAAAAGTAGTTCTATTAGAACCAAGATTCACACCACCATTTCTAAAAAGTGGTAATTGCAACATAGAAATGCTAAGATAACTAACATTTCAAGCCACAATGACATTCGCAACAGAAAGTCAAAACACCATCCAAGGACAAATTTGCATAAACTCCCATAAACCAAACTTGAATATTGATTCAGTTTTTCAATTCTACCCTAAGAAAAGAAATTAATAACTCATGAGATACTTTCTGCACAGATACACATTTATTTTTTAACATAAAATAATCAAAATTACGATACCCACACACGTATAACTTAATGCCTCATAAAGTACCATCTTCTTTGAACTAGTTATTGGGCATTATGCCTCATAAACTACTCATGTTGATGGTTTTTATATACTTAGAATCCAAACCCTTGGTTTTTTGATACAGGATCATCTTTTTTATTCTTTAGAAGATTTATCGAACCTTGTGGATAATTTGATCGACATGTAAATTTTTGTACATCGACACCTCATTGGTCCCTATAGTAATATACTTTACTGTTTATATTTAGAAAAAAAAAAGATACTCTAGAACATATTTTAGTTAGTGGTGGAGCTGAAGCAAGAAACCTGAACAGCTGGGAACCACAATCATTAAAGCACAATAACAGAATCCTACTTTCAGGAGAAACGGAAGAAACAGTAAGGCAGCAGGGTAGAGAAGAAATACCAAGAGAAAGGAAAAATGCTATCCAGAACCAACTTACATGTCTCTCAGCTTGTTCTCTTTGGGCTTGGAGATCACGTTGATTTTTCTCAGCCAGAGCCTTTGCCTGAACATATCATCCAGTATTTATAATTTGAGAGAAAAGGCAACCATGCACAGAATTTTTACACTTAATGCAGCATGTAATGCACTTTCGTTCCCTTATACAGGATAAGAAAAGATAGGTAAAATGGTGTTAAATAGAAACATACAGCCCGCTCCTGTGTCCTTTGGTGACGTTCCAGCCTGGCTCTTCGTCTTTCTTCAGTTTCCCCTTCAACTTCTTGGAACTCTCTAGCTGGGGATGGAGCAGCTTTTAACAAAGGTAACAAATTCAGTTTATTTAACAAATCAATGAGATGAAAACTACATATGCAACACTAATCACGTCTCACAAATATTAGTACCTCCAAAAATTGAAGATAGATCATCGACTATATTAGCAGTTGAAGATGCTTTCCTCATGCTAGTTGAGGTGCCAACAGATGTTCTGCGAGCTGCTTCAGGGCCTCCCTTACTCTGGGTATCAAATACAGGATCCTGCAACCAAAATAGAGTGAAGTGTAACTGTGGAATCTATGGCAACAACTTCAAACTTGAAAAGAGAGATTCCAGCCCAAGGTTCTCACTGAAGAGTTGGCCCTTGGCCTAGGCGCACTGCTTGGTCGAGAGCCCATACTAAAGAATGATTCGAGATCATTTTCATTCTTTTGTTGATTTGCCCTTGCTGCAGCGGCAGCTCTTTCTCGAGCCTCGGCAGCTGCCCTCTCCCGAGCCTCTGCAGCAGCCCTTTCTACTGCAGCTCGTTCTGTCTTAACACGTGCTTCATTTCTCTCCCGTGCTTCCCTCTCCCTTGCTTCTGCTGCAGCCCTTTCAGCTCTTTCTCTTGCTTCTGCTGCCGCCCTTTCAGCTCTTTCTTTTGCCTCTGCTGCTGCCCTTTCACGAGCTTCTGCTTGAGCTCTCTGAACTGCAAATTTTTCCGCACGTTCTCGAGCTTCGGCAGCTACCTTCTCGACAGCAGCCTTTTCAGCTCTTTTTCGTGCCTCCGCTGCTGCCCTTTCACGTGCTTCAGCTGCCGCTCTTTCACGTGCTTCTCTAGTAGCCCTTTCCACTGCTTGCCTGGCCAATTCCCTTTCCCTATCCATCCGTTCTTTCTCAAGCCTTCTTTGCTCTCTTTCTCTCTCCTCTCTTTCCCTCTCTTTCTCAAGTCTCCTCTGTTGTTCTCTCTCTTCCTCCTCCCTTTCCCTTTGTTGCCTTTCATGATCCAATCTCTCTTGTTTTTCTCTAAGTTCTCTTTCCTGAGAATCATCTTTATCCAATTGAACACCTTCTTTGCTTCTAGTAGTCTTTAAATACTCTCTCTCCCTCATTTCCCTGGCATGCCTGAATTTGGCCTCTGCTTTATCCATGGCCTCTTTCATGGCGGCAGCAGATGCAGCAGCCATAGAATTTGTACCCATATCTTCACCAGAAAAGGCATCAGCATATTCATTAATATTATTTTGAGTCCTACCCATACCAAAATCCTCAAGTTCATCTATTTGAGATGCCACAGGGTCCCTTGTAGAAGCACGGACAGAATTAGGGCTATATGGATACTGAGTGGAATTCTGGAAGGACGAATACTCATTGATCTTCTTTCTTGTATTTGTAGAAGTAACAGAACCTGCATCTGACTTCGAAGATCGGGTTGGTCTTGGAGGGGGAGGTCTTGAAGGTGGTGGAGCACTGGTAGGTTGTGTAAAAAGAGGGACCTCTGACACGGTAAGCCAGACATCATCAGATGACTCAAAATACTCATCTGACCTTGGAGTTGTATTGACCTGTGAATTCGTCTCATTTGGACCGCCATTCATGTATGGAGAAGCAGCTTGTCCACCAGAGACAGAGGACACATCAAATGGCATTTGATAAGAATCCTGAAAAGCATTAACAGGCACTTTCTTTTGAGAGTGGCTCTCAAAATTTTCAACTGGAGATTGTGTACCACTCACACTTTCAGTCCTTAGATGATTCTTATCCTGACCTCTCTTACTAATCTCAGGTTTAGATTTTCCAAAATTTTCAAGAGGATCTAGATCATCAAATACACCTACATGTGGAGATGAACGATCTGCTTTACTGCTCCCAGAGCTACTGAATTTGTTAATATGTTCCAATGGATCAGTGAACAACCCTGAGGAAGGAGCTGTGGTAGATGTTGTTGACTCTAAGACCACAAATGGGTCTTCCATCATCTTGGGGTCTGTCTTACTTGAATCAGAAGATGGTTCTTGTGACCAACTAGGCTCAGAAGTTGACCTGTGAAATAAAAGGAGATATTCAACTGAGGAACAAGCAAGTGCAATAGTTGCACAAACAAAAAAGTAAGCAATAGAAAGTAAACAAATATAGAAATTGAGTGGCCTTTTAAAATAGTTACGCTCATCTGCTTCCAGTTTTCATGGAAAGAAATTGAGGGACCTAGAATGCAGAGAATCCAGATGTCCCACAAGTACATACACATACTTTTACTTTTTTCTTTAAACCCGAGCAAGCTATAAATCCTACTAAACTTTTTCAAGTAAAACATGATTAATTACACTGGTGAATTATTTCCTATTCTCATAAGCAACTCCATGTTAGGCTTCAGGCTACTAGGAATAACAGTTTCTCACAAATAAAAGGAAATAAGGACAGCTCTTCCGTGCTCAAAGAAGAGGAGGAAAAAAACAGTATGGACAAAAAAGACGAAGAAAAAAGTTGTATATCGAATTGTATAAGTTCATGAAGTATTTCTGGTAGAGACTAATTTTGCTACAATGTATTTCATTGACACAAGGAACAGACAAATTTAATAGACTTTCATGGGCTTACCATAAGATCCAGAAACTTGACACATCAATCTGACTATTGAAGATCAATATGAAGATTAAATTTAATCATTGAAGGTGAAAGTTTCTAAACATCACATGAACCCACTTCAAATGTTGCAAACAATATGTTAAAGTCATTTAAATATTAATAAGAGAGAACTAAATGGACATGAAAATATTTGCATTTAAACATGTAGCACTAACAACAAATTACTATCTTGGTATCATAGAGTGAAAAATGAACCTAATTGTAATATATTACAAAGATTCAAGTGAACGATTTGAATAATCCATACTTGATTTAAAATTCCCAAAACCAAACATATAGAGCTCTTCATTTGATACTTACATGTCTCGAGTTCAACAGTGAATCTGATATATATTCACGTATCAGACGGACTGGTGTTGAAAACATATAAATGCATGAAAAGTAGTCGTTAATTAACTTCCTAGAATTCATTCTGATGCCATTTAAACTATGTCACCGCTAAAAGCTCAAATTAAGCAACCATGCCACTAAACCAGAATTAACCCAGCATATATTGCTTTGGTAAAGCTCTAAGTCAGCTAATAAAGTATCTGGGGCAGAATCATTTGTGCGGCATCTGATAAAAACTAGAACTTGACATTACCTACTTACTTCAGAAATTCATCAAAGCTCAGTTTCAAGCATAAACACAATGTGACCTCGTTTTAGCTATCAAAAAATAAATTGTGAAAATACCTGTAGCCAGTTGCTGAGCTGCCGCCACCAAAGCCAGGTATCAAATCATCGAAAGCCGTTGAGGTTTCCTTCTTCTCAGTCTTCCTCAATTCGGTTTCTTTCTTACCAAAACCGCCCAGCAGATCGTCAAAAGCCGAATTTTCCTGCTTCCGCGGCCGAGACGTAGGAGGCGACGAGATCGAAGAGAAAACGTCCTCGTATTTAACCGAGGTGGCCGATGCCGACGAACTCTTCACCCCGGGTAAACCCTCGAAGATGTCTTCGTCGTAGACCGGCTTGTCGTATACCGGCATCGACGAGGATTTAGATGCTGCCGGCGCTCCCCGGTCCTTGAAGATGGAATCGTAATCAAACGCCGTCGATGACTGCGTCGTGCGAGAATCCGAGGCGGAACCGTACTTGGGAGGCCCACCGAAGACGTCGTTGAATAGTAAGCCGTCCCCCCCGCCATCTTGATCGTCGAAAATGGGGTTCGAATTCGACTTACTCCGATTAGAGGCCGATGACGATAGGGTGAAATCGGGAGCAGAGGATCCGAGCCCGAAATTAGGGGTAGAAGAATAGTTGCCAAGACCACCTGATGGGGAATTACGAGGGGGTGCCATCGGTGCCGATTTGCCTTGTGGTTTGAACCCGAAATCCCTCGCTAAAATACCCGGAAAATCATCCATGGATTTTTATTCCGGTGCTTAAATTTTCCGATCGATCTGCGCGGGTGTAGACTTTGAAATTTAAAATACTTTTTCTGTTTCTCCCTGAAAAGTCTTCAGATCTGATAAGAGAAGTAGATGAGAAGCGGAGCCATGGACGTACAGAAAAGTTGGGAAACAAAATGTAAGGTAAATAATCAATTATCAAATAACTAGATCAAAACACACAAAAATCAGCGAGATAATAATAGTAATAATCAAGTGACTAATACTAATAGCTATTATTTTTAGTAGCTAAAAAGAAAAAAAAAACATACTAACTCTCTCTCTCTCTGTAAAATCAATCTGTGATTTCAGGAAGAAAGAAAGAAAGAAACTGTAATAACTGCTTTGTTTTTTCTTTGTTCTTCTGTGTTTCTTTCTTCTTGTTCTTCTTCCTCCTCCGTCCGGCTCCCGGATCCCTTAATCTTCACCTATTTTTTCCTTCTGGAAGGAAGAAAGAAATGTTTAGTTGATATTGCTTTGATTTTGTACTTTTCTTTATTTTCCATTGAAGGCCCAACAAATTATTAAATTCACAAAAAATGCCCAAATTTTTGTTGGTATTTTAGGATTACACCCCTCAGTTTAAACCCCATTAAGGTTTATAGTCCATGTGGTTGACATTATTTTATTGTGATGCTCCTTTTGTTTTTTTGATACAAAGGAAACAACAAGACGCACTAGTATTCTTTTGTTTCTTTTCCCCTTTAGCTGATGATAAATAAATATAGTTTCATTATATGATTTAATGTAACGTTCGGAACTTAAAATGAGGTAAATATATAAATTGAATACGAAAGCGAAATAATAAACTTAAAATTTACATTTCTTACACAATAATTTAGAATACTAAATAAGAATACGGAAATGTGCTTTATAAAAGAATAAATGAAAATAAAATAAATAAACGAGAAGTAAATAACTGAACATCTTATGACAACCTTCACTAGCTCTTGAAAGAGTCCGGGTGGTAAATTATTCACAACCCTCTAATTGATCGGGATCTGGGTCTTGATCATCTTTATATGAAATAGTAATGAGAGACAGCTACACTAACTCAGTAAAAATATCACACTACTCACCGATATAGAAAATGAAAGTTGGTAAAAATTATAAAGCTAATAAATATAGTTCTTAATTTAAGTAAATTCATTTATTATAAGTAAAATCATTTATTGCATGCTTACCGTTGTGAGATTTTTTCAAATAACATTTCAATCTCATTTTTAAATAAGTACAAATAACAAACTTCTTTTTTTATTTAATTATTGGTATCCGTAGGAGTCTATAGAGATATCCCACTACGCGTAAACTATTATTTAATATTATCAACTAACCAACTGTTTTTATACTCCGTCCGCTATGAGTGCCAATAATATTATCATTCAATACCCTGTTCGGTATGATGGTAAAATAGACCGTTCCCATACCTCGTATGGTATGAGTGTAAAAAATACAAATCTTCGATAACTCGTCCGGTATGAGACGACGTTCACAGTAGAGTTTCATATATACCTGGTTCGTCCACCATCTCTCAGAATATCTACTAAGGCTACTATTCATTCATTTATTTAATCAATCAATTTTTTATTTACATTTAATTTTCAGTTTCATAATTTAACCATAAATCAATGCAAAACAAACAATATATACATTAAGGAAACAGAACTGAATCATTTTACCAATTTCAGTATGTTACCATGCATTTAAAGCTGTAAAATCAAACAATCAGTTAAACAGGACAAATAATAATAAGTAACCAGTTTTGGCTCCATTAGTAATCTGTAATTAATTTTTGAAACTTTCTAAATTACACAAAATACCGTATTATTAATAATTAGACTTCAATTCCATAACAGGGAATAAGGTGATAGATTCTTATCCGAATCGGTGTCCGAAATACTGAACTTTTAGCTGCGCCTATTGGCAGTCCCCGGATTTCTTGAATTTTCCTATGGAGATTAAAACACGCTTCACATACCTAAAAATATCTATAAAAAAAATCCAAAATCAATGTTAAAAATTTTTTTTTGCCAATTTCAGAATTCCGACACGGCGGCACCACAGTGCTCCAGCGACAGCATCGCCGCCCGCGGTCGTGGTTTGCCTCGGCCTGCCCATTTTTGGTCAGCTTTGGCCAATTTCAACTGGTTTTATACATGTTCCTACAAGAAAACACGTTATGAGGCATTGGTTGGCACGAAAAAAATCGAAAAATAAAAACTTACCAGCGGTAAAATTTTTCGATGCGGCGGAGTATTTTTCTTCGGTCAACCTATAAAAAACAGAACGATGAACACAATGGTAGAAAAATCATACGAAACGGAAAACGGGAAGGGGCTCATCAGATGAGATTTTTTATTTTTTTCACGGCGGCACCGCCGGAATTTACCCGCAGTTTTCGACTCATCCACCATTCCTTTTGCTCCGAGTTGGTCATGGGGGTGTTCAAAATCAAATTCTGAGTGAATAAAAGAATTTTTACATTTTTTAGCGATCAGATGTGGCTCCGGTGCAGCGGAGGGTTGGCGGTCGGCTCCTTTCTCCAGTGATTGATTCTTCTTCTCTAGCGGGAGGCTGACGGCTAGGGTTTAGATTCGGTGTGAAGTGAGATATTTATACATGTCTCTCTTAAATATGGACGGTTCATCACGTTTGATCTCGACTGTCCGATCGCATTTAAATAGAAAATAAATCTGGACCATTCATCGTGATTTGATATCGATTGTACGATCATGTTTAAAGAATGAACAAATTTGGATTGTTCATCGCGTTTAATCAAAATCGTTTGATCGTGCCTGATGAGAGAACAGATCCGTACCGTCCACGCTCGCTGGA